ACTGACACTGTCCTTCCTTCATGGTCAAGATCTGCCCTCCACCCAGCGCGGAGGTGACGACGGGGAGTTTGGGGGTGGCTCCTGTCCCCAGCCCCCGCGCGGTCCCCGGCTCCTCGGTGGACCTGGCGCTTTACCACTCCGCTGGCTGGCTCCCCTTCCCTCCGTTGCTAGGGAACCGAAACCCACTCTCGTCAATGTCAATGCTCAGTCTTTCCTTTGGCCCCTCGACCTACTCCCCCTGGCTCCCCTCCTTCCTCTCCTCTCCTTCCCGCGTGCCTTCCAGCCCAGTGACTCCTTCCGGTGCCATCCCGGTATCTGCGGGCAGAGCCTCAGCAGGATGACACGTTTCTCACGGCCGAGGCGGCCTCCTCCCGGGGGGACACTTGTGGTTTAATGATGAACGAGTTTCTCTTTCTGACAACCTTGAGTCATGCTCTCAAATATCTCTACTTTTTAACTCTGACATCACCGTGTGCCCAACCAAACCCAGGAAGGGGCGTTTTCAGATCCCAGGAAGAAGGCAGGGGGTGGGTTCGGAAAGTGAAGGCAGAAAAGGGCTGGTCCCACCTCTCCTTTAAATGTACCAAACTGTGCGGCGGGCCCTCGGCCTCTTTCGGTGCGAGTATTTCCCGCCCCGATCCTGGGAGGGAGGAATGAGCTCATTCTCCCCCATTCTGGAGCTGAGGCGATGGGGCAGGAGGCTGTGTAACGAGCTGCTGTAACAAAGCTCAGACGGGCAGGAGCTGGTCGAGAACTCGGCTGCGTCTGCCCCAAAGCCACGTCCCCTGGAACTGGGCCAGCGGGCGTCTTCTCTGAGGAATGAAGGGGAAGCCTCAGTACACGGTGGGAGGCGGGGTTTGAGGAGGGAGGGGAAAAGGGGCACTTGAGAGCCAGACAGTGAAGGTCTCCTGTTCCTCTTTCCCTCCTGCCCCCATCATTGCCAGGCTGCGTGGGGAAGAATGGGGAGGTGGGGGCGGGGTCAGCTGGGGCCTGGGCGGCCGTGGGACTCCCTGGGTTCTGCCTGCAAACTTTCTAGTATGTTGGGTGCCCCCCACCCCCCACTTCTCCTTTCTCTAACATACTCTTTACCATTCAGCTGAATAGTTCTCTTCAGAGGATTTTTTTTTTTTTCAGTTTGATCAAAGCTGCTTTTCTTTCCCCAAAGCCTTGCTTGGGTGGCCCGCGGGGACGTCTGTCTGCTCAGGGCCGTTTGGAACCCCTCTCTCTGCACAGCTGCGCACCCGCCAGCTTCCCCAGGTTGTCTGAAGCCGGGAGCGGGATCAAAACATTCCGTCTCCTTGAAGCATTTGAGAAAGAGGATTTGTTTTTCCCCAGTGGGATCCAAAAGTTCGAGAATCCAGATGACGAATCCAACTCGAACCCATATTTGTCTTTTTTAGAAGGAAGGGGAAAAAAATTAAAAAAAAAAACAAACCCCGAACAGAGTCTTTGTCCGTGACCATTTCTCCTTTTAGTTTTCATGGGAAATACGGGCGTTCTTGCCGGCCGTGTGAGCCCGGACAGATCTCGGCGCTCCGGACTGTTTGGTTTCCTCATCTGTCGGGAGGGGGTGGTGGGATTCCCACCTCCGTGTGTGTTCTGGAGGGTCCCGGGAGAGAGTAACCGACGTGCAGTGGGAAGTGAACACCAGGGAGCAGAGCGGGTCCCGACATGTCCTCTTTTGGGGCGGCCTCTGTAGAAACCCCCACCGCTTCCCCCAGAGCTGCACGCACCAGCTCTTCAAGCAGCACTGTCTGCCGGAACAAAGACTGGGAGCGGTCTGAAAGGCCTTCCCGCGGAGGGGTAGGCAGAGGAGCTCTGGCATGTCCCCCGGCGAACGAGTGTGCGGCCCTGCGGTGACGCCCCACCGACGGAGACAATGGTGCAAAAGATCTCGGGGCACGCCGGCACGCCGGCACGCCAGCCAAAGCCAGGTGTGGGCCGGCCGCCGCCTTTGTGCTAAAGACAGTCACCGTGCGTAGCAGACTGAAAAACGGGCATAGCCACTACGGGCGACAGCACGGAGGTTTCTCGGTATATTGCAGAGACAGTGACCACATGTTGCAAGTTGAAAAGGTTACGAGATGAATACGTTCTTTTTTTCTTAAAGATTTTATTTATTTATTTTTAGAGAGGGAAGGGAGAGGGGAGAAAGAGAGAGAGAGAGAGAGAGAGATCAATGATGTGCGGTTGCTGGGGGCCGTGGCCTGCAACCCAGGCGTGTGCCCTGACAGGGAATCGAACCTGCGACACTTTGGTTCGCAGCCCCTGCTCAATCCACTGAGCTACGCCAGCCAGGGCAATGAATACATTCTGACTCCAAAGCCCAGTGGCCCCAGCAGCTCTTGGCCGTCCTCATTGCGCCCACAGGCCCCCGAGCTCCTTCCTTCCCTGCTTCTGATTGAGTAGTTCTGGGTATGGCCTGTGAATTTGCCTTTCTGACATGCTCCCATGTGATGCTGTTGGTCCCGCCACCACGTGCTGAAAAAACTCACTGCCCCGGGGCGGGGTGTCCTTGCCAGCACCTGCCGTGCTGGTGGCCGGGCAGACAACTTCCTCCTGAGCAAGAGGGGCAGGCAGAAGTGGCGGGCTCCTGCCACCGGCCAGGACTGAGTCACGTGGCCTTGGGTCTCCCCGCCACCTGCGAGGGAGGCTGGTGGCGCCATCCGTAGCCGAGTAGCCGTGTGCCCCTGGTAAGGGGAAGAGTGTGTTTGTGGGAGACGACAGAGTGTCCCGGGGACACACCGGGAGATCAAGAGCGGGCCGGCACCCAGCGGTGGGGACGGATGTGGAAGACACCCTTACAGTGCATGGTGAACAGTGTCATTTGGTGGTGTATTCAAAGGGGGGACCCCAGTCTGCCTGCAGGGGTCCGCAGAGGCTCCCGGGATGCTCCCCTCTGGGGCAGGAGCGCTGCCCGAGGTGCCGGCCCCCCTCAAAGGCAGCGGGGTGTCCTCCACCTGGGCCCCGCTCTCTCCCCTCTGCGGGCATCTGGGAAGGGCCTTCCTTCACCACCCCCACTGCTTGGTGAGCTGGGGCCGACGTTGTCCCAGGTCTCAAATCTTCTTTTTCTGCCCCGTCCCCCAGGCGTCTTGGCTCTGGAGAAAGCTACGTGGCAAGAGGCGGCTGGTGGTGGCATTCTGCCTCCTGATGACTCTGTCTGTGATGGCTGTCCCCTGCTTCCCCGCACAGCCTCAGGATGCCCCGGAGCCCCGGGGGGTGACCGACACCCCTGCTCCCCACGGCCCGCAGGCTCTGAGCTCCCGCTGGAGGCCGCAGACGAGAAGCCTGCGTTTCTGGAGAGGCCGGGCCCCACCCGGGAGTTCCGACCCCGAGTGTGCGGAGGAGCGAGGCCGCCGGAGGGCAGTGGACAAGAGCAGGGCCCCGGGAGGGGAAAGCCGGCATGTAGGGCGGGCCAAGAGGGACATTGCTGTGGCATCATTGGTCGGAGATCTGGGACTCAGCACTCAGCGTCTCGTGCGCCTGAGGGAGGATGAGGTCGAGGCTCCAGGAGCCAGAGACCTGCGGCCCCCTCGGAAGGACGGTCCAGTCCGGGAGGTGCAGAGGGAGACAGGCCCCCTGGCCGGCGCCCTCCCAGGACACCGGAGAGCCGCTGCTGGACTGCCCCTCCGGCCCCATCCAGCCCGCAACAGGGACCTGCCGGGAGCTGGGAACAGAGCCTTGACTGGTGGGCAGAGAGCGTGGGGTCCCACCTCAGCCACAGGGACCCGTCGGTGGCCTGGCTCTGTCCGGGAGCTGCAAGGATCCACCTGGTGTGCCGCTGAGACTCCGGGGCGGGGGGCCAGCGGGCAGGTGCCCCCATGGCTCACGGAGCACGATGTGCAGACCCTCCAGCTGCTGGCCCAGGGGGAGGTGGTGGGCAAAGCCAGGGTCCCCGGCCACGGGCAGGTGCTGCAGGTGGGCTTCTCCGCAGAGGGCGCCCCTCAGGACCCGTCTCCCGGGCTCGGCGGACTCTGCTCCCGGGGGCTCTGCGGCCTGATCAAGAGGCCCGGAGACCTGTCCGAGGTGCTGTCCTTCCACCTGGACCGCGTGCTGGGCCTGCGCCGGAGCCTCCCCGCCGTGGCCCGGCGCTTCCACAGCCCCCTGCTGCCCTACCGCTACACGGACGGGGGCGCGAGGCCCGTCATCTGGTGGGCGCCGGACGTGCGGCACCTGGGCGACCCAGATGACGACCAGAACTCCCTGGCCTTGGGCTGGCTGCAGTACCAGGCCCTGCTGGCGCGCGGCTGCAGCGGGCCGGGCCCGGCGGCGTCGTGCCTGGGCATCCACCGTGCCGAGTGGGCGCGCCTGGCCCTCTTCGACTTCCTGCTGCAGGTACGGGGACCGGGCCGGGCCGGGCCGGGCGGGGCCGGAGAGCCGCGGGAGTGGGGGGACGGCCGGGGCCTCTCCCCCGCAGGCCTGCATTCTGACCACCAAGCCCCACGTGGTCAGTCCCTGGGGTTATTTTTCCAGTCACCCTGAGCTAGAACGGTTTGCACCAGCTCCTGAGAGCTGATGGTTAAAATGTTCAGGAATCGTGTGGCGTGATTGTGAAACACAGGCGTTTTAACAATGAAATGATAGGAACCAAAAATATAATAATTCTATTAGCAACAAAGGTGAGAAGAAACATTCAGAACGCATTACTTCCTAATTCTTTCACTACATTTTTCTTGTTCCCCGGGCTGTGGAGGTTATTACTGTCTACCTCGTGAACACTATGTGATGGTGGCGACACGCCTCCGCCAGCCTCACGCCCGGCCGTGCTGGCAGCTTGGGACTGGCCGGGGTGGGGCGATTCACACCGTGAGAACCAGCCCAGGCTATGTGTCGGGACCTCCCCCACCCCCGGGGAGTGAAACATTTATCAGCCCAGCGCTGTTTACAACGTTACATCCATGACTCAGCAAGGACCCGAGGTGGTTGTGTAATTTATGAATGAGAGAGGGAGAGAGGTAGAAGAAAGAGAGAGACAGAGAGACAGAGGGCAGAGAGAGAAAGAGAGAAAGAGAGAGAGAGAGAGAGAGAGAGAGAGAGAGAGAGAGAGGTGGTGTCGGTCCAGTCCGGGCACTGAAGAGTGAGGAGGAAGCCACAGGGCAGCCGAGGTCCCTGCTGTGCTGGGAAGTAAGCTGGAGTTTCTAGGGACCCTGGGGAAGGGGCTGGAGTTTCAGGGATCCCCAATCAGGGCAGGGGGTACCTGGGGGACAGCAGGCATCAGCCATTTGTGGGCTGGCCCGGGCTGCTCTGTGGCATACACCCGTGAGTCCCTCTGAGTGCCCCACGGGGACGGTGCCCAGGCCCCCGCCGTGGTGACCCCTGGCCCTCCCTGAGTAGCGCCCCCTGCTTGTGTTTTGGGATTAGCTCACAGATAAACCACGTTGGCTTGAATGCTCATCTTGAGGTGTGTCTCTGGAGGAGCTGGGTCCAGGGGTCACCTGGCCTAGTGTGGTTTCTGTACACAAGATGCTTCGTGGAATGTACCTGAGACGGTGCCTGGTGAGTGGTGACATGCTCCACAATAAGCAGGCACTGTCCCCAACACTCGACACGAATCAACTCATCCAATCTTCATGGCAAACGTATGAGTCGGGTACTACATTTACCTCTATTGCAAAGTTGAGAAACAGGCCCAGAGTGGCGAGGTTACTTGCCCAAGGTCGCAGATGGCAGAACGGAGAGGCAGTTTGGACAGTCTGACTCCAGAGCTCACCCTCTCCATCCCGGCCGCCATTCACCTGGCCACGACGGAGGGCGGGAAGAGGGGACCTTTGCAGGGACGCCTGGGGCCTGGAGGCACCTCCTTGCAAAGCCCGGGTCCCCCTGATGCACACACAGCGGCTTTCTGCTCCACACAGAGGCCCTCTGTCCGCCTCCTGGGGCTGCGGTGGGGGGCCCACCCCCGCCGCCTGGGGCCGCTGCGGGATGGAAGCCGCGGCAGCCAAAGCACACACAGGTTGGGCGTGCGGTCAGACGCCACTCAGCTGGCCCCGTGCCACCCCCTCCCCCCGGGCTGCTGCAGACTGGTCAAGTCACACACTCCTGTCTGGCTGATGCTGTTTCTTCCTAGAAACCGCCGGCCAGCGGGAGAGGCCGGGCTGTGGGCTTCCCAGCTCAGGAGCTTGAGGGACCTGCTGACCGGGAGCTGGCTGCAAACCCCACATACAGCCCACTCTGTGGTAGGCTTGCTCCTCTGTCCTGTGTGATCCAGATAAACCCTTGTTCTCCTGCGTGTGCGTGTGTGTGAGCGCGCGCGTGTGTGTGTGTCACGATGTACCACTTACCTGGACACAAAACACGCAAGCCCTGCACACAGACACCCTCCTCATACCCCCACACATCCTATGCTCTGCAAATCCCGTGAGGCACTCTGCATTAGTTAGTGATTGCAGAGATAATGCTGCGTAACAAACCTCTCCAACACGCAGCAGCTTTAAAGCACCTACAATTTCAAGGGACAGTTTCTGCCAACAACGTGCAATGAGTGTGGGAGGGGACCCTGAGCTGCAACAGAGAGGCGGCCCCCGCCGACGCCTTGCGTTCAGCCTCGAGGACCCTGAGCGGAGAGCCCGGCAAACGCGTGATAGGTTCCCGACCCACAGAAACCGTGAGATGACATACGTGCTCCCTTAAGGCACGAACCTCCTGGTAATTTGTTACGCAGCAGCAGGACAGGACTTTGTGAGACAAGGGAGGGCCATGGGGGTGAACACAGTGGGGGGCCCCCTGCAGGCGACAGCCCTGCACTGCGGGGCCCTGAGAGAGCCCCTCCCCCCATCCCCACCCCCATTCCTTCCTCCTCGCCCGAGTCTGGTCTCTGTTGGGACATTTTCTAGAACTGTCTGGTCATATCTTTGCCCCATTTTCTGTTGGGTTGTTGGTCTTTTTCTTAATGGTTTCGAGAGCTCTTTAGAGTTTGGGGAAGTTGTTCTTTTGTTTTCACCGTACTGCACGGTTTCTCTCGGGTTCAATTGTTGTTAAGCTCTGTTTGCAGCCTCTCTGCTGGGCAGACATTTAAAAAACGTTCATGGTAAAATGATCGAGCTTTTCTTTGACAACTTCTAGGTTCGTGTATTTTATTTTAAGAGGCCATCCTCAGTTCAGGGTTATTTTAAAGACTCTCCCATGTGTTTTTATATATTTTTGATCCATCTGGATGGGTTTTTTTTTTTTTTGAAGCGATAAGGCACAAAACAGCGATTTTTTTCTCTCAAATGGCAACCCAAATGTTCCAGCACCATTTGTTAAATAATCAGTCTTTACCCCGGTCTGAAATACTGCCAGTTTCCGTGTGTATGTGGGTCTATTTCTGGGCTCTGTTCCGTTCCGGTAAAGGCTCTATTTCTAGGCCAGAATCACACTGTTTTAATGACTGTGCTCATATTTCATGTTAATAACCAGCGGGGCGTGGGCTCTCTCGTTGCTCTTTCTTAGGATTTCCCTGATACTCCCGCACACGGTTCTCAGGGAAAACTCAGTCAGCCTGTTAGCTCCATCTCCTTCCCCAGTCCCTTCGGGGTTTTATTGGGATCAAGTTAGATTTGTGTGGACTTAGATAGAGGGACTTTATACCCTGACATGTAGCGTCTTCTAGGCAAGAACAGGACGCATCTCTCCATGTGCTCACGCCCCTTGAAGCATCCCGACGTTCCCTTCGGCTGGAGCCTTGATTTCGTGTTGGGGTATTCCTGGGTATCTCTTCTCCCGTGGCGGCTGAAATGGGACCTTTCTCCTCCTTTATGTGTTCTGACCGGTAGCTCTCGGTCTGAGTGAAGGCCCTTATCTCTGTGAATTACTTTGGTTACTGGCCACCTGCTAACCGCATTTTGCCTCACCAGTTGCTGGGTTTGCCCCTGGTTTTCCAAGTTCACCCTCGTTTCATCCGTAATGACTGTTCTGTCTTCTCCTCACCTCTTTCTTCTTTCTCTTACCGCGTTGCATTGCTGGTGCCTCCAGAGCAGCGGTAAACACTGATGGTGCCATGGACGTGACTTGTTTCTGCAGACTTGGGGAAATTTCTGGTGTTTTTGTTGTGGAAGTTTCATTTTTCAAAAAAAGATTTTATTTATTTATTTTAGAGAGGGAGAAGGGAGCGAGAAAGAGAGGGAGAGAGAAACATCAATGTGCGGTTGCCTCTCATGTGCCCCTTGTTGGGGGCCTGGCCTGCAACCCAGGCATGTGCCCTGACTGGGAATCGAACCGGCAACCCTTTGGTTCGCAGACCAGCAATCAACCCACTGAGCCACATCAGCCAGGATCCACTGAGCCACTCCAGCCAGGGCGGATTCATCTTTTAATAGCTGCCGGGTTCTATGTTGATGTTTAAAATTTGGAGTGATCCACACACGTCTTTTCAGATCAGATCTAGTTCTCCTCCACCCATCTCCTCAGAGCCCATCAGCTATTCATCCAAATCCTAAGCTGCTGTCTCAACTTCTTCCCCAGGCTTGGTGCAGGTGGGGCACCCTGCCATGCCTCCCCAGGGCCTCCTGGGAGACCGCCCTCTGTCGGGATCCCCCAGAGGAGAGTGAGAGTTAGTGCGAGTTCCCTCCCCCAAGCCCTGACCTCCCCGAAGCCTCATAAAACCTTTCACAGACAGCCAGTCTGTGTGGGACCAGCCCCCTGCCCTCCCAGGAGAGGGAAGCTGCCCCCCTACCGTGCCCTGACCCCAGGCTGCAGGCCAGCCCAGCCCAGAGCCACCCTTTCCACTCGGAAGGATCCCGTGGCTGCTCCCACGTTGAGGGAGGGCTCCGGCCTGGTGGGCTGGTAGGCAGGGGTGATGGGGGACACGGGCCGCCAGGGACAGCCAGCAGCTCTTCTGGAATCCACTGACCCAGGTCATTTTTTCAAAAAGGGGGAAAAGAGTCAAATCCTGAAGGGCTGTGGGAATGACACTTGCACTTGGTCTGGTTTGGTTGCTAGTCTGCTGTTGCTTAAACTGCATTTCTCTTAAGTGGAAAGAATAGCTGGAGGGTGTGGCACAGGAATCGAACTGGAAATCGGGCCCGGCCAGGCCCTTTCTGTTAGACATTTAAATGGGTGAAGGATTTGGGGAAGCCAGCCATGCACGCGCTGCTGGAGGGCCCAAAATTCCCAGCAGCTTTCTCTGGAGACAAACATGGCTGCAGGTTGAAATCGGCACGGGATGGCCTGTGTGGTCTCCCAGTAGACCCATGGTCAGCGTCAGAACCCAGGCCTCAGGCCAGAGCTCCGGAGCAGCTGCAGATGGAGCCGAGGGTGCGGCTGGAAACCCATGCCGGGCTGAGGCCTGAGGAAACGGCTCTTGGTGTGCAGGGCGGGCTGCCGCCGGCCAGAGAAGCGGAGCGGGAGTCCCAGTAGGAGCCGGAGGCCAGCTCCAGAGCCAGCGAGGACCGTCCCCAGCGTGTGGCCCAGGGGCCAGGCCTGGGTGCTGGGCCACACGCTGGGGACACGCGCTGTGCCGCCCACCCTGAGAAGATGGGTGTCCCCACAGGTCCACGACCGCCTGGATCGCTACTGCTGCGGCTTTGAGCCCGAGCCCGCCGAGCCCTGCGCGGAGGAGGGCCTCCGAGAGAAGTGCGGGAACCCGGGCGAGCTGCGGCTGGTCCACATCCTGGTAGGCGCCCTCGTCTCCCAGACGCCCGTCTTCCCCCCTCCCGCGGAAGATGCTGCGAGCGGGCTGCAGAGACTGTGCCGCCTGGGGGTTCCCAGTCCTGTGCATTTTAGCAGCAGAGCCCGTTGTGTGAACAATACATACAACTGAGAGAAGTGCAGCTTTGAGAATGGGGTCGAGGCGTCGGGTGGGGCAGGAGCCTTTTTCACCGACTCCACGGTCCCCAGGAGATGCCAGGGGGCCCCGAGGGCCCCTGGACGCAGAGAGTCAGAGCCGTGCATGCGGTCGGCAGCCTCCTTGTGCTAGTCAACACGCACACTGTGACCTGGAACCAGCCTGGCTGGTTGGGGGCAGCGACGGAGCTCTCTCCGTGGGCCCGATAACTCCCAGGCAGGCGACCTAACCAGAGGAACACTGACTTGCTGCCCCCGTTGAAGCTGGCACCCGGGGCGGGAAGCGCTGTGCCCAGACCATCAGAGGGATGCGCTCGGGGGCAGGATGGCCACTCGTCCGTCCCGCACGAGGAGTCAGGGGCCCCTGTGCAGGCAGGGCCTCTCCCCCAGTGAGGCCTGGTGTCCGTGCGGCCTCACCAGACCGGTTGCTTCTGGTGGGCGGTGGTCTGGTGGGCGGCGTCCCAGGCTGAGCTTCAGGCGGCACACACCAGCCTGGCGGCCAGGGCTCCCGCTGGGTGTTGGGAATGCTCCATCCCCGGCCCCCAGAGCCGCTCGCCCCTTCCTCAGTCAGAGGTAAGGCTTTCTGCCCATCATTTACCCTGATGGGCAGCCGTTTAACTGACCCTTCGGTCTTCAGAGGGAGGAGTCACCAGGCTTCGAGAGACAGACGAGTCCTGCTGTGGGGAGAGGGGTGAGGAGGGAAAAGGGGCAGAAACGGGGGGAGCCGGGGTCCTGGAGACAAATATTCATCATCTGAACCGAGGCCACTGGAGAGAGTTATGGGAAATTGCCACGACATCCTGGAGAATGTTCAGGCATGGGGTGTGTGCACCGGGTGGGGGAGGTGCGAAAGAATTCTCCGCCGCTGGGCTAGTTTTGAGGAGGTCTAGGAGACGCTAAACTCTGCTCCCCGAGGAGGAGAGTGTCGTGTGTTCTCAGGGACACGCCCAGGTGTGTTGGGGGGCAAGGGGTGAGGGTGCATGGGTGCCTTCCACCCCGCAGTCCCGCTGGGCAGTGTAACCTCTGCACCTGCCCATTCTCACGGTGCCCCTCACCCCTCGGGCCACCAGAGCGAGACTCGGCCCCTCTGCCTTGCAGTCCCCCAGGGTGGCACCGTGGTTTGGGCCCGGTTTGAACCAGCCCGCTACTTATCAGCAGTGGGACCTGGTGCGAATTACTTCTCTGTGCCTTGTTTCTGGAAAGGGGGGTTCACACGAGGGGCCCCCTTCTAAGCGTGCTGGGAGGGCTCCCTGGGACGATGCCTGGAAGACTGAGCAGTGTCAGCGCCGGGCCAGCTGGCGGCTCAGCATCTGGACAAGTGGCAGGGCGGGTGGTGGGACGGCAGCTCAGGGCCCCCAAGCCCCTCCACTCCCCCAACAGCGCCCACGGGCACCAGCTAGGCCGCACCCTCACCCACCTCTGTCTCCGCCCCGCCCCTCTTTCCCCGAGGTCCGGAGCAGTGACCCGTCTCACCTGGTCTACATCGATAACGCCGGCCACCTTCAGCGGCCGGAGGACAAGCTGAACTTCCGGCTGCTGGAGGGCATCGACGGGTGAGTGCCGGAGGGGCTGGGTGCAGGTTCAGGGACAGAGGCTGGGCGGCCCTGCTGTACACTGTGGGCCTTCAACCGTGAGGCCCGAGAAGCCCTCCGTCCATCCTCAGACAAGAGCCATTAGACCTGGGCCTCGGGAAGGGGGGTGGGCCCGGGGGAAGCTGAGAAGGCATAGAGCCAGCAGCAGGCCCTTCATCTTCTGGATGGAGCGCCCCCTCCCCTAACTCCCAGAGGGCCTCCTGGCCCCACAGCACACCGGCTGCCCTGCCGGGCTGTGGGCAGGCAAACCCTTCCCTCGTCCCAGTGGATGGCCGGCTAGCCTGGCCGCCTGTCCTCCCTGCCCAGGCCTGGAAGGCAGCTCAGCCTTCCTAGGACTCCTCCTGGCATTGGCCAGGCGGAGCAGCGGGCGTTGCGCCGGGAGGGCAGAGACGATTCGCCCCGTGACTCTGGGGGACGGGCCCCACCTGGAAGCTTCACCCGCTGCCTGCTTCCACAGCTGAGCGGGAGGGAGAGCCCCGGGTTGTTTCTCACTGAGGGCGGGCGGCCCCTGGGACTCTGCAGGCTGGCCTCGCCAGGGCTCCCCAGCTGTGTCCCGCCTAGCCACCTGGCCTCGCCTGTCGCCAAAACGCTCCGAGATCACGTTTGTGTTTCCTTTCCATTCTGACGTCCGGGGGACGTTCGTCCAGGTTCCCTGAGTCTGCCGTGAAGGTCCTCCAGTCAGGGTGTCTGCAGAACTTGCTGCTCAGGTCGCTGCAGAGGGACCCCGTGTTCTGGGAGAGCCAAGGCGGGCGACAGGGGCTGAGGCAGGCGCTGCAGACCCTGGAGCGGCGAGGACAGGTCCTTCTGCGGCACATCCGGGAGCACAACCTGACAGTCTTCGGGGACGAGGACCCATGAGCCCCGCGCCGCCCAGGCAGGGCTCCCGCTTCGCCGGTGGGGTGCTCACGACACGACCTGAGCGGACGCGCCCCCATGCTGATGGCCACGCTGCCCTGGGCTCGCTCATCTGAAGACAAAAGGGGACAAGCCAGAGCCTGGAGGGCACCACAGGTGTCACGGGTGTGTCACCTCCCTGGGACGGTGCACGGGGTGGGTGGTGAGTTCTCACTGTCACCACATTCGTTTCTGCCCTGTCGGCTCTGGTCATGTGCTTCCTTGCACCAATAAAAACATTCAAGAATGTTCTGTGGACTGTTCCGTGTACTGTAAAATTGTGCACCCCACATGCCTGTGTAGAGCTGGACAACGGTGTGTGTATGCATGTAGACATGTATGTGTGACATGTGTACATGCCCACACATGTATGTGAGCTGAGCTGAGCTGAGGGTCTTCACAGAGTTGTCCTCGTGGCCCAGAACCGCTCGGGCCGAAAGCCGACTCAGGTCTGAGAAAGGAAACACCAAACGTTTTGTCTTCGTAGACTTTGGATGTTCAGTTCTCATTCAGCCATGTTTTTAGTCTAAGAATTATAAACATAGCACATACTCACCAACAACAAATTTCATAAATAATAGAAGCACAGAAGATAAAATGTAAGAAAGTCCCACGAACTTCCTAGAGATTTTATTCACACTGACACTCCGTGCAAGTGAAACTGTAATGAAAGCAGTGTCACTTATGTTTCTCAGCTCCCTTCTTTTATTTTACTGTTTTCTATATTCTGTGTCAGCCACCTGAGTGGACCCAGTTCTTTTTTTTTAACAGGGAAAGTTTTATTTTTCAAGATTTTATTTATTTATTTGTTTTTAGAGAAAGGGGAAGGGGGGAAGAGAGGAAGAGAAACATTGATGCGAGAGAGAGAGGCATCAATCAGTTGCCTCTTGTAGGCGCCCCGACCAGGGGCTGAATCTGCAGCCCAGGCACATGCCCTGACGGCAAATAGAACCGGCCACCTTTTGCTTCATGGGACAATGCCCCTCCAGCTGAGCCACATGGGGCAGGGGGACTCAATTATTATCAGTGACTACACAGAACTGCAAGGCGGGGACAGGCCATGCTTTACTTATTCTCATTACGATGAACATTAGGTGGCTCCTACTTTTCACCAGGTATAAACAATGCTGCCGTGAACGTCTTTGCGTGGTGTGCTGTTATTTCCGGTAGCTCTATTTGCATAAGTGGATTTCCGCATCAAAGGGTATGTATGAGTATTTATTGTTTTGGAGAGAAACTGCCAAAGGGTGGTGTCAAATTCTACCCCGACAAAGAGGGAGGGAGGGGCCTGAATGTCTTCCCGCCACCTCGTCAGCACTGGCTGTGCTCAAACTTTTCCTTTTTACTCAACAGATAGGACACCTATGTTTAAAACTGTATTTCCGTAATCATCAATGAAGTTATCTTTTCAATGATTCACTAGTTCTCTATATTTGCTTTTTTGTGAGTTGTCTTTTTCTCTTGAGATGTTTGTTCTTTCCCTGTTAATTTGGTAGAGATCTTTGAGTCTAATTAGTGTAATCAGTCTTTTTCCTGTTGGTTTTGTTGTAAATATTTCCTTCCAGCCTGTCATTTGTCTCTTGATTTTGTTTATGGTGTCTTCTGCCAAGTAGAAAATTTCAATTTCCATGGAGTCAGGTCTGTTTGACTTTCCTTTTAAGTCTTCTGAGTTTCATGCCTTCCTATTTCCAGATTATTGAAATAATCTCCTCTGCTTTATTCTAGTATTCACCTAGAATTTCTTTTACATAATTTTTAAATAATGATAATTTTACTTTTTTATTTCATAAATGCGTGTGTGTGAATGTGTGTGCTTTATGAAGACCTCTACTTATTTTTGTTGTCCTACTACCTTGGCTGGGACCTCTGGGTGAACTTGAATGATAGCAGCAGCAGTGAACATTCTCATCTTACTCCTGACTTTAATGGGAATACCTGTGGAATCTCACCATTGAGTATTTTCAGGTTCAGAGAGATAGTTTCTGATAAATATCTTTTATTAAGTTTAAAAAGTTTATTTGTGTGCTTAGTTTACTGACTTTTTCAAAAAAGAAAAACCCACTCGCATAGTCCACTCGCATTTCATGACCGGTGACTGTGTACCAGCCACGGTGACCGTGGTTCCCATGATTGGAAGCACTTGGCCTCACCACAACCTGGTGGGCAGATGTGATTGATTATTACCTCCACTTTAAGATGAGGCACAGAGGGGGTAAGTAACTCGTGCAAGGCCACCCAGCTTGTAGGCGGAAGGGCCAGAATTCGAACCCAGGCAGGAGCCGTGCTAACTCCTCTGGAGCCCAAGGCCAGCAGTAAAAGCCGCTCCCACCACGCTCTCCCGCCTGGCCTGCAGCGCCTCTTCCTCTGACCCCCTTGGATTCAGGGCCGATGGGGAGGCCGCCTGTTCCCTGGACTGTGGAGCGAGCGGCCAGTGGAGGCTCTGGCCAAGCTCGGTCACGTGCGCTTGGCTCCCCGCCCGTTGCTCTTCACTGGAAAGTCTGCTCAGTCTACGAACTGCGTCTTTCCTGCACACCTGAAACTTCATCTGCTTTTTATCCTTTCCAAAAAGCACGCTCAGCCTCCGCATGTGCACTGCGTGCTCTGTGTGCCCCCTGCCATTACCTCTGGAACGAGGAGCATGTGCCAAGGGAAGCGAACTGCCAGGGGTGGGGGCGAGGACGTGCCCGCCAATGCCAGATGCTTGCAAGGCAGCAGCTGCCTCGGTCTGCAGGGCAGGGGCGGGGTGGGAGGGGTGTCTGCTCCACTGCACGCGGACCGGCCTTCAGCGAGAGCCCTGACGGAGCGCGCCAGTGAGGCCGCGGCAGCCGCTGCCACTAGGCTGCCCGACTGGCCTCGCCCAGGCCTGACCCTGTTCCTTTGCACCTGCCCCCAAAAGGCCATTCCAAGGAAAACGATGGCATTTCCAAGCAGCAGAGGCTGATGACGGGAGCAGAGGTCCAGGATGCCCTGGGTGCAACTCCAGCAGCCCCCAAGCTCTGCACGTGGAAAGCCTCTTCAGTCGGCTGGCGCCAGAACTCTGGTCCCACGCTGTGTGGATATTCGTGTTTCGCGGCAGAGACACCTCCGTGGGCAGTTACTGGGTGGAACCCCAGCCCCTGCCAGGAAGACTGCATACCTGGCACCTTTCTCTATCTGAAAAATTCAGGTTTTCGGATCATCTGACCTCCAGGGCTGGGGTAAGGCATTCCAGAGCTGTCATGACTAATTTGTTATAAGCCAGGTGTGGTGCTTTACCCAGATGACTTCCTAAAACGCCTACAGCAGCCCCAGCTGCAGGCCCTCACTGCAGATGAAGACGCTCAGCTGGGCAGGGAGCGAGTTGCCCGTGGCCGCTGAGAGAGGCTGAAGACTCTGCTGTGAACTTGGGGGTACCGCCCGGCATGAGTTGAACACGGACAGCGGCCTCCATGCCAAGAGCTTTACCTGTGCTCCTTATTGCAAACCTTCAAAACAACTCCAAGTAGGCTTTACTGCTCCCATTTGACAGTCAAGGAAACCAACGCTCAGAGAGGTCGAGTTACTTGCCCGAGATCACAGAGCAGATAACTGGTGGAGCTGGGATTTGAACCTAGGTTTGTTTGACTCCAGAGCCTCTGCTCGTACCTCCCACCCTTCTCTTTCTCCCTCCCTCCTTCCCTCCCTCTCTCCCTCCCTTCCCCCAATTCATTCTAAAAATCTTACTGAGCACATCCCCCCGGAGAACACACAATTTGGAAGCAGTCAGAGGCCGTGTGCTGTGGCGGCCACACGGCCCAGATGTGTGGCGGCGGGCCCGGTTTTGCATGTTCCATCTGGTCGTCAGAGCGCGTGCCTTGGCACTGTGTTTGGAACGCAGGCCCCTGTAACCGCGGATGCAGCTGCGGGCCCGAGGAGGTCAGAGGAGGCCACAGGAGACACGGGAGGGGATGGAGACCTCAGTGAACACCCTGAGATGTTCCTCAGTGGCCTGGGCTTTTGGACATCCCACTGGAATGCCCGAGGCTCGCCAGCCGGCCCAGGTAAGACCCTTGCTGTGGGCCCACTCCCACCACCTGCAGGCAAGGGCTGTCTCTGTGGTTGGGGACTTTTCCATGGACGTTGGCCTTTCTTCCCCTTGAAACTGCCTGCACTCTGCCCCAAGGCAGGCAGAGGGCGGACTTCTTATGACCCCTCGGAGGGACAGCGTGCAGTGCCCCCTCGACTGGGCATCACCGGCCCTCCTGCCCCTCACCGGAGACCTCTGCGGGCCCACCTGGGGTTCTGGTGAGCACTGCTCAGGGGAGGCTCCTTTGGGGGTGGGGTCTGGTAGGGCATTTGGGTACGGGGGCCGGAGGCTTTCTGAGGGTGAGTGGGAGAGCTGGGTAACCTCTGGTTCTGTCCAGCCGATAAAAGGAGAGCCACCGGGTTTCTGAGGAAGTTAACCAGCGAGGAAGGCATCTCTAGGTGGAAACTCAGGTTTCACTCCACAGCGGAGACAGTTCAGGTTTGGTCCTAGGGACGTGGAAGGTGACGGGCTGGGGCAACTGTTGGACGGCAGGACTCTTCCCCGGGGAGGCCTCGGGGAGGAGACGGCGGTGCCCGGCAGAGAGACAGGCGGCAGCCGGCAGCCCGGGGAGCCCCAGAGGTGGCCGGACATGAGTGAGGGGAGCCGGGCCGGGACACGCACCGGGCTGCCTTGTTGGTGGAGGAGGCGGCCCACGGGCGGCGGGTGGGAGGGGCTCCCTGAGCAGCCAGCTCCCCGTCTCCCGCCTGAACCTTCACCCGAGTCACTGATGGGCCGTTGTGTTTAAGAAGAGGCAGGTTTAAAGCAAACGGCCTCGAGAAATAATGCCCTTAATGGTAACCACACTTTAATAATTCCTACATAATAACAAAGAAATCTTGCCTGCTAAATTTCTGAAGTGGAAAAAAGTGCAAATATGGAGACGGTGGATGCCATCCACACCGCGGAGGGGTGGGGCCGGCGCGTTTGTCCAGCTCAGGGATTTCTACACTGAAGTCCCGTGTATTTCACAAGTTAGCAAAACATCAATTAAAAAAATACGTTAAAAAAAGATGCCAGAGAAGAGCCAGCCATACTCAGGGCTGTCCAAGGGTGGGACTTGGGGAAAGGGTACCCATTTCTTAGGCCACGCACTGGTAAGTTCTCCAGCCAGCCAGAGCCTTGCCTTCCAAGAAGCATGTTTGGTGACGTGGGGAGGGTTCATGTTACGACGTTAAGGGAAAAGAGTACCAGGACGAGGCTTCACGTA